AATGTTCCTAATGTATCACAGTGTGTATTTCAATGTGTAGTCCTTTGTTCTTTAAGGAGGGGAGTATAAAAACTGAAGTCTAATCACGCCCTCCTCGTTCAGAATTGCCTATCTCTAATATGCTCTGGACCTTGCGCAATTAAACTTCTCTGCTAACCCCTCCGGAATTCGTAAGAGTTCTTTCGTTTTCCACAAGATTCTAGTCCGTCCCTCTGCTCAAGCAGGAGAACCTATACCATCTCAGACAAGTGACTGTCTAGTCTCTTCTGAAAAACCTCCAGTGATGGAACGCCCAAGATTTCTGAAGACAAGCTGTTCCACTGGTTAATTGTCTTCACTGTTAGGAAGTTTCTCCTTAATTACAGGTTGCTTCTCTCTTTGGTTAGTTTCCAACCATTGTTTCTTATCCTGCCCTCTGGTGCTTTGGAGAATAGTTGGATGCCCTCTTCTTTGTAGCAGCCCCTCAAATACTGGAATACAGCTATCATGTCACCCGTTTCTTCTTTTCTTTAGACTAGCTAGGCAAAGCAAAGTCCTGCAGCCGTTCTTCATATGTTTTAGTCTCCAGGTCTTTGATCATTTTAGTTGCTCTTCTCTGAACTCTTTCCAAAGTCTCAACATCTTTTTTGTAGTATGGTGACCAAAATTGGTTGCAGTATTCCAAGTGTGGTCTTATTAGGATTTTATAAAGCAGTACTAGTACTTCGCATGATCTTGATTCTATGCCTCTGTTTATACAACCCAGGATTATAATAGCTTTTTTGGCAGCTACTGCTGATCATCCACTAAGACTCCAAGGTCCCTCTCACAATTACTGTTTTTGAGCCAGGTCTCACCTAATTTGCACTTGTACCTTTGATTTTTCCTGCCTAAATGTAAAACTTTGCTTTTCTCCACATTAAAATTCATTTTGTTGGATAGGGCCCATTGTTCAAGTTTGTCAAGATCTTTTTGGATCCTGAGCTTGTCTTCTGGAGTGTTGGCTATTCCTGCCAGCTTAATGTCATATGCAAATTTGATGAATTCCCCTTCTATTCCCTCATCTAGGTAATTTATAAAGATATTAAAGCGTACTAGGCCTAAGACGGAACCTTGTAACCAACCAGACCATTTGAATACCAATCAACCAGAGAACCAATCAGCTATTCAGAATTTAAATGTAGTTCCAAAGGAACCACCAAACACACTACCAACTGACCACACTGGCACACAAGACATTTATAAGTTAAGAAAAATAGGAAAAGAAAATCCTGCTGCTGATGTTACCTAGTTTGGTAATGAAATGTTCAGAAAGTAAATTATAACAAACCTGGAGAGCAAACCACTACCAAAATCTAAAATCTGAGCTACAAGTATTTTCTCTTATTTCTAATAATTGATAATCCAGTTAGTGGGGAATTGCAAGCTATGATTTATGCAACATTGTGTGAATATGTTGTAAGGTTTTTCAGCTCAGAATCCTAATAAATTCCAATGAGAGACTGCACACGAGGCTACTGCAAAAGAAACAGCTTTATTCTTTGATCAAAGCCAAAACTGGGTATTTTCTAATCTTTTATCTCTAAACAGAGAGACAGAGGAGGAACACACACACACTAATAAAATTTTTTCCCTTTTATAGCTAGGGCATTTTCTCAGGCTAAAAGATTTCTTTTTTGTCTGAATATGTGTTTTCTTTATCAGGTTAGTTCAGTTACAGCTTGTTACAAGGCTTATGCTTTGAATACACAATTGCTGGCAGGCAGCCTGGAACTTCTCCTCCAGCGGATACATTTGCAGGGTACATTTCAGGCTATAGTGGAGTGATGGCGAACCTTTTAGAGACCGAGTGCCCAAACTGCAACCCAAAATCCACTTATGCATCTCGGGTGCCGGGTGGGTGTGGCCCATTAGGTGGGTGTGACCCATTGGGTAGGCGTGGCTGTGGTGGTAACAGCAGACTGGGTGGGACTAAAAAGTTCAATCAATCAATTCCAACTTTGCAAGATCTTTTTTTTTCCCCGCGAGAAGTTGAAATTGACTAATTGATTGAACCTTTTTTTTTTTTGCACACGGTGGCGGAGACCCAAAGTGAAAAGGTTTTATAAAACCCAGCTGAAAGCCTAGGACTGGGGCGACGGTACGCGTGCCCACAGAGAGGGCTCTGAGTGCCGCCTCTGGCACCCGTGCCATAGGTTTGCCACCACTGCTATAGTGAAAGCATTTAAAGTTACAACTAAACTTTTTCTTTCTCCTTGGTCAGCTTTTAAGTTATCTCTGAGCAAAGTACAGAGTGCAAACAAGAAAGAATGAACAATGGCTGGGTTACACATAAATTATTATATTTTGATCTCATCAATGTCTAATATACAGCCCTCAAAAGAATATCAAATTTAAATTTTAAGTCAGGAAAAAATATTATGTAAGAAAATGGAGATAAAATATAATTAAAATTAAACATAATAGTAAAGAAAATTAATTCAAGAATAATATTCTAATCCCACCACTGAATCTTTGAATCTAGTCCTGGTATGCCACTTATGTGCAGTCAGTAAAAAACGGATTCTTCTGATTTTTTGTTTGTCAGAAACCATGGGGAACTAATTAATGGTTAGTATAAAACAGCATGGTTTGCTGACCTATAGTTTATTGAATAATCACATTGTTGAGTTCAGATAAAATACAAAACTATAAACTATACTAATAACTAGATTCACTGTATACACTAAAAACAAATCATATTATTGCTAACAGGTTAAAGAATATAGTTAAACACCACCATTGTGGAGTCCTATCTAATCCAGCATCCTGAATTGACAAATCAAATCACATAAGTTCAAAGGTCAAAATAACAAGTTATTTCCTAATGTTTCAGCTCAGCAACATTACATAAACTTGGTTAGTTTCAAATCCTTTTCCAAAAATTCTCAGGAATTTATTCCCCCATCCCATTGCCAAAGCTAGGCACCAAATGAAAGCATTTTGATTTATTTATCTAGTATGTGTAGTAAATGACCAGGCTGAGTGCAACATTGGGGTCAAACATGTCATCAGATTGGAGTTGCTACATTCCCACAAGTGACCTAAATCTGGCCCTCCTTGAATTCCATTGTCTCTAATCTAGTGCCAATTTGCCTTGAATGTTAGTAGATCATATTCTTGTGAATGGAATGGAATGGAATGGAATAAGATTGAAATCTAGATTGGAAAATAGAATATAAAAATGAATAAGAACAAAAAAGAACAAAATAGAATAGCTTTATTGGCCAAGTACGATTAGACCAGTGGTTCTCAACCTGTGGGTCGGGACCCCATTTGGGGTCGATCGACCATTTCACGGGGGTCGCCAAGCAAGGCTGTCCGCCATTTTTTTTGTCCGCCATTTTTTTTTGTCCACCATTTTTTTTCCCCTTTTCCGGCAGGTGCCTTACCTCCCTTGGGCTGGGCCAGCTGGTGGTCGGCCTGCTCCGTCTCTGCCACTTGCCAGCTACGCCTCGGCCGGCGCAGGGGGCAGAACCACACATGCGCGGCGCTCCCGGGCAGGGAAAGTCCTCGACTTATGACCAGTTGGGTAGTCCTCGACTTACGACCGGTTTAGTCCTCGACTTATGACCGGTTTAGTCCTTGACTTACGACCGGTTTAGTCCTCGACTTACGACCGATTGGGGTCGCGGCATTAAAAAGGTTGAGAACCACTGGATTAGACAAACAAGGAATTTGTCTTTGGTGCATAAACTCTCACTGTCCATACAAACAATGAAGCAATATAATCATAAAATACCAATAGAAGGATGAGAAGGATAATAGTAATATAGCCATACAAAAGGGGTAAATATCCTTAGGTATAAGACAGTACTGTGGTAATTAGGTGTTCAGCAGAGTGATGGCACGAGGGAAAAAGCTACCTTTGTGTCTATTATTTTTGGCATGCAATGCTCTATAGTGAGCTCCTGACGGAAGGAGTTGAAATAGTTTATGTCCAGGATATGAGAGATCTGTACATATTTGCTCAATCTTCCTTCTGACAGGTATATACAGGTCCTCAATGGAAGGCAGGTCAATATACAGGTCCTCAATAGAAGACAGGTTGGTTGCATTTTTTTTTTCTGCAGTCCTAACTATCCATTGAAGTCTATACCTGTCTTGTTTGGTTGCTGTACCAAACAGACAGTTATAGAAGTAGAAATGACAGACTCTATAATTCCTCTGTAGAACTGTATCAACAGCTCCAGGGGCAGTCTGTATTTTCTGAGTTGACACAGGAAGAACATTCTTTGTTTTGCCTTTTTAATAATGGTTCCAATGTTAGGTGTCCATTTCAAATCACAACATGTAATAAACTTGAAGCTCTTTGAATTAAACTCCTGTTCCTGGTTACATGTACTTAACAGTATGGGCCCTTTCTTGATCACAGCCATCAATTGGACAGGGCCATTTTTGACCATCACTGCAGGAAGCTGAATTTAGGCATTTAAATATTTATGGAGATCCTTAGTCATTTAGGTCATGATTGTCCCAAAGGTGTTTTTTCAAAAGGCAATTGGGCTGTCTTTGTTTCTGCTTTGTTTCTAAGAAGTGAAGAAGCTTTTTAGATGAGAAGTGAAATGTCTTCAAGCAAAAACAAAGAAAGTCCAGTTGCCTTGGGACAAGCATCTTGAATAGATCTTGATTCATTCATTTTCTGTCTTGCTGCAGTCATAAGTAACATGAACAAAAGATACAGATAAATAAAATGTTTATTAAATAACTGTTTAGTGTTATACAGTACATAATGAATTGCATTTAAAAAAATAATGTTTAGGGGCCAGTGTAGCTTCTAGATAATTCTCCTTGAACTGGGGAAAGGTTTGCATTGCAGTCTGACCCATTTACGGAAGAAAAGACACAAGGCAAATTACAATCACAATAGAAAAATTAAACAAAACATTATTTTACAAATTCCGGATTCATTATGAGTCTTAGGAAGAATTTTATATTTCGTAGAGTTTTATATTTTACTATTTTATTTGGGTTCAGAGAATGCAAGGAGTTCTTTCAGATAGTTCTCAATTTACAACCAATTTACAACCATAATAAAACCCAGAATTTCAGTTATAAGTCATGATGTTCATAAATTGAGTCTCTCTTATGGCCAGACCGTTTTACTTTTTATTTGCAACATTAAACAACACTACAGTTAGTAAGTAAATTCATATACAAGTAGTCTTTAAGGGATGACTGTAATGGAGTCTGCCCATTAGAGTCATCAAAATTTATAAAATGAATTGGAAGAGCAGCAATGAGAGAGATTCACTCCTCTAGCCCTTCACCTGGCAGCAATGAAGAGGGGGAAAAAATGATGTGCCAACTGCAAAGTCCCTAATCTTGACTAGACATATGACCAGGAGGGTAAAAACATGCCAACCATTGTTTATCATAACTGGGCGACAAAGGGCACTCACAAGGCTAAAAATGGCCAGCTTCAGGAATGACTGAATGCAGGCCACACGACTAGAGAGGTCTTTTCTTGTTCACAATTTTGTCATAAGTACACTTTCGGGATGCTTTCATAACTTTGAGATTATTAAGCACCCATTTTGAGGACTACCTCTGTTCCTATGGTGATTTTTGCAGACAAAAAGGATGTAAGCCAGCAAAAAATATTGTAAAGTTATATGACCAACTGGCTGCAACTGGCTATAATGGTGAACCAGTTGTCAAGTGCTCTGAATCGATCATATAATTTTGTGTGTGTGTGTGTGTGTGTGTGTGTGTGTGTGTGTGTGTGTGTGTGTGTGTGAAGCCATTGAAACTCCAGAACCAGGTCATAAGTAGTGGAGGGGTTTCATTATAACTTTGAAGTTGCTAAATGATTGGTTATTAAGCAAGGGCTAGTTGTAATAGCAAACCTGCAATTTATAGTATAGTTTTTTAAAAAAATCATAATTAAGGTCATATACATGCCACTATTTAACATGGCACTACATGAAATGCCAGTATTATAGTAAATTAAGAGGTGCATGAGTATCAGCTTGGCTTATCAACTGAGTATCTATTTGTGTCATTATCACTATTAAAAAATGAATTGCAAAAGGTATTGATGGGAGAAAAAGATAGGCTTAAAACCTGCTGTTTCTATACTTCCACAAAACTTTCTACAGAATAACTAATTTTTTTAGTTTCCTGCAAATGAGGAGACTTCTCCACCTCTCTCCTGAGTTACTTTTCTTACATCAAATATCATTTGCCCACTGTGATTGCAAGATGAAACAGTTGCTTATAACACTGTTATTTTCTATGGAAACTCTTGCAAATGGCTTTTCTTACACAATTAAATAATGACTAATTTAAAATCTTTTTGATGTTGTAATTTTTATGGTAGAGGTTATAAAACTAACCAATGTGTGATTTGTAGCAAAACTGTACAGGTTATCTTAATAACATTGTACTGATACCCGTGTTTCCCCAAAAGTAAGATCCTGTCTTACGTTCTTTTGGGCTCTGAAGTAAACACTAGGTTTTACTTTCGGGGAGGGCTTACTTTTTGATGGTACCAGTACCGATAGGCCGTGAGTGTGTGGAGGTGGAGCGGGGCCTGTGCATGGGGTGGAGAAGCAACGCGGCGGTGAGCATGGTGGCGGACCAGGTACGGTACCGGTGCGGCCGTGGTGGGCAGCAGCGGAAAGGGCACCAAACCTGGCGCGGGTTGAGCCGGCCCAGATCCAGAGTGCCACCCCACTGCCAGTCTGCCAGGGCCCTTTGCCAGTGGCTGCCGTTGGAACTGCACTGGCCATGCCTCTGCCTTTGGGCTGTTGAGCGCCAGCCTGCACGCCTACTCGGTGCTGCAGGCCCCAGGCTAAGGGCTGAACCTGATGCTGTTCGGGCCCTGGCAGGCGCTGCAACTCTCATACCAGCTGGGCGCTTTTGCCTTCTACCGGCTGCTCCCGCCGAATTGTCTTCTGTCCGGCCAGCTACTGTCACCAACAACATGAACTGAGGCGAGGCAGGTGGCAGGGAGTGGAGTTGCTTCCCTCTGCCTGCCAGACACCTGCCGAAGTCGTGTAGGGTTAGACTGCTCCGTGTAAGGTTGCTGTGTAGGGGGTGGAGTTGCTTCCCTCTACCTGCAAGACACCTGCCAAAGCCGCGCAGGGTAAGACTGCTCCGCCTGCCCCTGCCCAGATGTCCGCCAGGGCCCAAAGACCACCAGGTTCAGCCCGTAGACTGGCGTCTGCAGCACCAGCGGCCGCTGGCAAAGGGTCTTGGCAGGCCAGCGGCAGGGCGGCACTCCGGATCTGGGCTGACTCACCCCATGCTGAGAAATGTCCCAGCAGCAGTAGGGCCAGCAGGCAGGGTGGGCGGAGCCCAGGGCTCACTGAGGGTTTGGTTCGTTCCTCTCGCAGACAAGCAGAGGATGGGACGGAGAGGGCGGGGCCGTCGGTAGCCGGTTCCACCAGCGGCCGCTGGTGAAGGGCCCTGGCAGGCCGGAGGGGGCGTTCCGGCTGTCGCACAGAAGATCTGGGCTGACTTGCCCCACCCTACACTAGGGCTTACTTTCGGGGTAGGGCTTATATTAGGCCCACCCCCTGAAAATCAGCTGGAGCTTACTTTTTGAGTAGAGTTTACTTTTGGGGAAACACGGCATATCTTACATTCATTGTGAAAGGTGAGCCTTAGTGAAACAGTTTCAAACATAAAAAGAAATGTATATACATGAAGACTATGTACCTATGAAAGTAGCACTCAGTATCACAGGTAGTCCTGAACCTATGACCACAATTGGGACACGAATTTCAATTAGTAAGTGGTTGAGAAGTGAGAAATCATGTGACTTCAGTCAACAACTGCAGTAACAGTTCTCTCAGTTGTTGGCCTTAATTAATTTTGCAGGTCGTTAAGAAAATGGAGCCCTGGATAAGAAGTGTAAAGGTGCCCCAGGGTGGGGTGGGGGAGGCCCAACATAAGCCCTGTGAGTTCAGGGGCTGCAGTGTGGTAGAAAGCTGCTGCTGCTGCATGGGAGGCCCAGACTGGCTGCTCAGCCAATCAGGCTTGAGAGGCCTGTACTTGTTCCTTGTCCCTCCAGGTTTGGTCAATTACAGGGCATATTCAGCAAACTCAAAGCACTCCACTTACCTTTATTTTCTCTTTAGCTATTGATAGATGGCTTCTGCAAGTAGACATTTTCCCAATTGTTTGTAAGGTTTCTTCTAACCTTCCAAACAATCATGAGAACCTTCTCAGAATATATCCTAAATGTTTTTTTTAATTTAAAGAAAATAATGTTATAGATTAACAAATACTGACAAATTCAGAAATAAGCCTAATTCATGTCTGAGATACTAGGATAAGTACTGCAATTGCATGGATGTCCACAGGTTTTCCTAACATATTTTGCCTTCCTAATACTACTTTTTATTATAGAACTGTACTGGGGGCTAGGGTGGGGTTAAACCTGCGTGGTGACGTAAGTATTCTGATATTAAAATACGAATCTGATAAAATTGGAGACATTAACTGTCCAATTACATTACTTGTGTGGAGGAAATTTAAAAGTAAAAATATATGCTTTTAGTATTATCATGTAATCATATTTTATATTTTATATTTTATAATTATCATTTTATAATCAATTGCCTGAGTAGATGCTTCAAGTATATGGGAAAAATACAAGCCTCAGGTGGAGGAAGGGGGGAGAACAGGAGTTACTATGGGGCCCAGTGTGAGTCACCATCTAGGAATTGTTTTTAAGTACCTTCTGGTACCTGGTAACCCTACTGGATCTAACAGGTGTAGAAGATGGGAGACATCTCTCTTTTAGAATTGATAAGCATGTACATATATGGTCTGAGTAAACAGGATAGTAGGGGAGGGATCTTATTAGTATAATGTACGGTAAGCAAACAGGGGCGGAGATAATGTATTCTGTTTAGGCGCTTCTGATAGATTGTAACCTCCAAAGCCTAAGCCAATGGGGCCATGGGAGAGGGAATGGGGCGTCGCGATAGGATGTATAATAATATGTAATTTTGGAATTTGGGGTGTGGTTCAGTACTTGGCTACATTGCATTTTGCCTTCCTGAATCCACCACGCTTTGCAAACCGTTATTTTTTTAGACTTTGTTGTGAAGTCTAATAAACTTCTTTTCTATTTGTAACTCAGAGTGGATTTCAATTTGTGACTATTTTTGTGTCTAACACTTGTTTGCCTTAAAGATACAGTATTTCTACTAGCCACTTTTTTATGGTGAAAAAAGCTTTTTATTTACTGGAAATCTTTTGACATTCTAAAGCTGCGGGGCTATAAACTCCCTTTCACAAAACAATTAACAGAGACACTTACTAAGAAATATAGAATATTATCCAGCTCTAAGCATGGACACATCTGTGTAGAAAATTTAAAATTGTTTAATTGGAATTTTAGTTTTTCAGTCTGAAGTTTTTCTTAGATCACTCAGAATTCCCTTTAGTCATAAATAAAGTAGATTAAACTTGTAGAAAATGTATATTCCTACTACCTGAATTAAAAATTTGAAAACTTCATAGTAGGTATATTTGGCCTTCATTGCAAAAACTTTGCTTGTAAAACTGTTTACTGGTTAAGTTTTGTATTTTAATATTTTAAGTTATTTTGGATGTTGCTTGTGAATGCCAGTCACTTAAACAAGTAGTCCTTTTTTTTTTTTTACCACAATTGGGCCTAGAATGTCATTTGTTGAGTGATCATTCAACAAGCTACATCATTACCTCACTCAGTAAACACAATTCCTGCTCTTCCAGTTACAGTCAAGGGACCACATGGATTGTTAGGTGGGGTGCCAGGGAGATGGTCCAGACCTCTAACCACTTGAGAAGCCTGGACCCTCTACGAACCACCAGTGAAGATAGTGGTAGCTAGTGTTTTCACCAAATTTCAGATTCTTCCTCCAGTGTAATGAGGAATTTCCTCCAGAGGTGAAAATGCTAGCCATTTGAAAGATTCTGAAAGCAGAAGGCCAGTATTCTGAGCCTTTCAGAACACTAGCATTTGGTAGGGAAAATGCTGGTAAAGGAGTGCTTTCCCTTCCCCTATGAGGGGAAAACACTAGTGAAAGCCAATGTTCAATGCTCAGAATACTGGTCTTTGCTAGCATTTTCACCAGATTTGAGTTTTGTTCTTCCAGCATGCAGGGAGAGGAAGGAAAATCTCTTACTAAGTTGAGGGACAGACCTGCAATCCATTATCTCCTCCACCTGCAACTTTCCCCACCAGCTTCCCCACTGACATTCTGGGGAAACTGGCAGAAAAGATTGTAAACGAAGGGTTCTTGGTGCTCTCTGATCTTTGTTGTTTTCTTGCAGGTGTTTCATAACCATCACTAGCACTGATTATGTTACCTAGTTTGGCTAATGAAACATTTGCAAGAAAACAACTAAGTTCAGAAAGCACCAAGGACCTTATTTCAACCCTGAGCTACAAATATTCCTTATTATAAGGTTGGAAAAATTCTTTATTGGAAGGTTGCATGGCATTTGACAATCAGTCACATGAAATGTGATCATATGATGTTGGGGGTGGGGGAAGCTGGCATTTTTTGATGCTTGGAAGTGCTTTACCAGCCATAAAGCAGTCATATGACTGGTCGTAAGTTAAAGACTATCTTTAGCTGTTCACATGTTGTTTAGAGATTTCACTTTGCATGAAATATTTAAGAGCACTCTTCATTTACTTTCAAGCACCATCTTTAATAATATTGCCCTATATATTTCTTCCACACTGATTTCATCCCCTTGTCTCATCTTAGTGCTCTCAGGAATAAATATGGACTAGTTAAAAGAGAAAAAAGAAGAAAAAAGATAAATGGAGTGGTTTTATATATAAAAGCCCTATTTAAACCTAGGCTACTTTTATCAGATGAATACGGTAGATTTGTAATAGTGGAAATTGATTTTAATAAATAAAATCAATAGTGATTGGATTATATGTGCCAAATGAGGAAAAAAGCAATTTTTTTAGTACCTTATGGACCAACTCTTACCTTTTTCATATGAAAATTGCCTTATCCTGGGGAATTGGAATGGACTGATTTCGTCATTTTGGGATAGAACATCTACTAAAGCAGACATGTCAAACTCACGACGTCACGTGACGTCGCACAATGAATTGGGAGAGTTTTGCCATTGCCGGCAATGGGGTGGGAATGGCTTCCCCATGACACGTCTGGCTCACGGGCCGGCAGTTTAACACCCCTGTACTAAAGGGATCAAACTACCCCAGGGAAAACTACTAAAGTCATTTTTTGAAATGGTGGACAATTTAACGTTAATAGACTCATGGAGGCATAAAAATGGCTCCGTGAGAGAATATACCTTTTTTTCAGAAAGGCACAAATCTTTTTCAAGGATCAATATGATATGGACCTCTAAAAACTTAGCAAATAGAATTTTGAAAGTTGATATCCTACCTAAATCCTACCTAAATCCTTTTCTGATCATAACACAATGGTTTTGGTCCTCAGAAAAAAGAGTTTGAGTTATAGATGGAGATTGAATGAATCTATTTTATAAAAGGAGGCAATTGTAAAGGCCTGTAAAAAGAAATTACATGAATATTTTGATAATAATTTAGGTAAAGGGACAGATATAATAACTGTTTGAGA